GTGGAGCCCCGGGCCTTGTGTTTGACACATGTGATTAAGAGAATTGTAAAGGTTAGTTTGTTGAAAAAAACCTTTATACATAATATGCATGTTGACATAAATTGATCGGGAAGGATCCAATGATTGTTTGAATTTAATTTGTAGGGGCAAAAAGGCAGAAAATTTTTTTTTGCTTCCTTTTGTTTCATTTATGATTTTTCTTGTTTTTCATTGTAGATACATTTTCTTTTGTTTGTTTTAATGAATTAATAAACTCTATATTTATATAAAAAACTTTTTTATGGATTTACATTATTTCTTCTTGTCAAAGTAGATTCTTGTGCATGGCTTTGTAATCAAACAGTTGGACAGCTGAGATCAACACAAAGAGATTTGCAGAAGCTACAAACAAAGAAACAGACAGGCACAAATACACAAAGAGCTAAAGAAGTGTAAAGACACAATGATGAAAAAATGAGTGACAGAGATGTGAAAATTAGGAAAACATAAAAATTTGTAAAAAGTGACCAAAATAACTGAACCAAAAAATGTCAGGGTAAAGAAAAAATAAACTTTAAAAAATGTCTGTTTAATAGGTGTAAATAAATGTAACCTCACAAGTAGGGATGTAACAACACATCAGTCTATATCAATATATTGATTTGAGTTAATGATTCAGTTCTATCAAGGCAAAATGAAAATATCGATCTATATTGTCATCATATGCTCGATGCAAATCGATATCATATGCTCATCTAACACAGTCATTGTGTTAAGGCCCTGTCACGCTAGACAAATTATGAAACAATTTTTATGTCTAAATTGCTAATAAAAGTTAWATATTTTGATCAATTTGTTAGAATTACATTTTGTGCACGCCGAAAAGAAGCTTCCTGTTGATGTTTTTCAATTCCATCTTCAACGTAGATGTTTTTAAAATGTTTATAAGTTGGCATAAGTTGTCTAGTGTGACAGGACCTTTARATGGGCATATATCGCATTACATCGATCGCAGACATGTCAATTGAATTGGATCAAAATCATACCGTGACAGACTTTGTGATATCGAGAAATATTGTATCGTGATAAAGCTGGTGATTTACACCCTACTCACAAGACTGAAACAATCAMATGAAGAAATAATGAAATATTAAAAATTGAATAAAGCTTCAAAATAAACTTAAAGTGCAGTTTTAAAGACCTACATGACATAAGCTATGAGTTCAATTAATAAAATGTGCAAACGTACTGCTTATGGAAATGGTGTTGTAAAAGTGCTGTAACTCTTCGTGTATTTATATTTTAAAGATAAAATCCATATTATTATGAATAATAACTTTTTTCTGTTCAAAAATCACTTTGAGTATCCTGGTTGGATAGAAATGTGCTGTACAAGTACAGTCCATTTACCAATAGGAAACAATGACTTTATTATTTTTTGTTTTGTTTTGTTCTCTTAACTATTGAGTAAAAATCTTTATCTGAATGAACTGCAGGCAGTTTTCTCATTAACAGCATCGTTATGAAAATGTTAATGATTTTAGTCGGAACATTGATCTGTAGCCCTGAGCCTTCGTGTTGAAGTGTGGTGCTGCAGACGATGAAGCCTCTCGGTTTACTCTGTACTGAGGATTTTACAGCTGAAATGTGAACTGTGCCTATAGCTCTTCTCTCCGCCTCYCAGTGGGTTTTTCTGTGTGTGTCTGTCCGACTGATGCTTTGGCTCCTCTCGTGAAGCTGCAGGGTTGAACTGTCCGTCAATGTCTCATGCAGAGCATTCACACATGCTGCTTTCACACAGATTCATTCAAAGCTTCGCTTCTTTTGTTTTGTTTTGTTTTCTTTCCTTTTGTTTTTGCTTTCTTGTCATCTTACAGTCCTGTATAATCTGCTTTAATTAGCTTACTTACTTTGCCTTTGTTTAATGACAAAAAAAATCAGAACGTTAACAAATGCTATTATGGTCACATGAGTTTCTAAATTGTCAACATTAACCTGTAAAATCTCGGGTTTATATAAATCAGTCTTTTTAAATGAAATATAAGTACATGATTGTACAGCAGCAAAAAGAACAGAGAATGAAACTGACAGATGGCCGGTTAATGACTGAATGAACAGTCCGTTAACAGCATTTGGTTTCTCCACACACCACCCAGTATGACACCTGAGCTGCTGGTTAGCTCCAGTTTATCACCAAAACAACTTAAAGCAGTTTAGGCTCTTTTTGACTTGAAGTTTAAATGTACAAAGTATATTTTTACAGTGTGGTATTAGTATTTCCAYATTAAGCTGTTGATTTTGGGGCCTTTCTGTCTGGAGTTTGTACGTTCTCCCCATGTATGCATAGGCTTTCTCCAGGTATTCCAGTAGATGGACTAAAACATGCATGCTAGGTTCACTGGTAACTCTAAACTATCCCTAAGTGTGTGAATAGTTGTTAGTCCCATTTGTTTTGGTGTGGCCCTGTGATGGATCTGTGACCTGTAGGCCTGTCACGATAACAAATTTTCAGGCCTAGCGATTAATTGTTTCATAAATTATTGCGATAAGCGATAATATTGCCTGGTGACCATTTTACAACTAATAATTATAAAAGCGTAATGTGTAAGTGTAATAAATCAATAAACTTTAATTTTTAAAAGAATGTTTAACAAAGTGGACTCTCAGTCTCTAACAAAAAATGCACTTGAATAAAAAAACAAACAAACAAAGAACAACAAAATATAAATTAAACACCACACACACAACTAAGACAGTAAATAAACAATATTAAAGAGCAGCATCTCTTTAGAGATTAAGCAAACTACACAGCCTGGTGAGGACCCACTATTTCTTATGGGGACATAAGCCCAGTTCACATCCCATGTAAAGTTTAGGCTAGGTTTAGGGTCAAATGGTAATAGAAAATACTGGTAAATGAATGAAAGTCAATGCAAAGTCCCCATGAGGATAGAAGAACAAACGTGTCTATGTGTGTGTGTGAGGAGGGGACAGTCAGTGAGGAGACAAGCAGAGCACTGCGGGGGAGGAAATCAGACAGTTCGGAGTTTTCCTCATGAGTTGTTGGGACAGCTACAGGTATTTTTTTATTTTTTTTTTGTTAAAACACAGATGGTGCGTTTAAGTTTCCTGTTATTTTTGGGAGCTACAGGTAGTCTTGATGAGTTTGTTAAGGGTCTGGGGGAGTTTCAGCCCCCAGCCCTTCTCCTCCTCTCTCTGTCTCCCCGCAGCGAAATTCAGGCTCTAGTGCTCCGACACTGCAGCAGCCGCGTTCTGCTTTGAAACGTTTCTTTAGTTTGTTATTGCTACGAGCTCTCACGCTAAAGCGAGAGTTCACTCCTCCCGACACTAAGAAAACAGGAGGGGAGGAGTCAGCTGAGCTCCCGTGCAGCGGAGCACAGAGAGGGAGAGAGATGAAGTAAACAACAAGCAGGAAAATGAAACTTATCGTCCTCATTTTTTTTACCGACCTCAAAATAACTTATCGTGCAATTAATTGATTTATTGACTATCGCGACAGGCCTAGTGACCTGTCTAGAAATTTGCAAATAATTAGTCGTATATACAGTATATTAGTTTGATTAAATGGTAAATAGCCTGAATTTGAATAGGGTTTTATAAAGTCCCTATGGACTCCAAAGYRCTTTATGCTACAGTCATTCACCCCATCATACTCTGTTGGTGCTAAGCTACAATGTAGCYGCAGCTGCCCTGACAGAGGTGAGGCTGACATGCACCGGTGCCACTGGMCCCTCTGACCAATTGCCCAAGGATACCAATCACAGGACGATTCCCCTACCACTCTGCCMCAAATAAAATAAGATAATATATTTGACTAAATAAGCATTTTCTAAGTAAAATCTAGTGCAAAAAAGCTATTTTTATTACCTACCAGYTGTTTCTGTGTAGCAGCATATCATTATGTGAGCTATGGTTTTTCTAAGGTTTATTTTTTTATGTTACAGTTTTTAGTAACTGTCTTCCTAGTTGATATTCACTATAGATGTTTGTGTGTGGGACTTTAATCTATGCCAGACATAAATTTAATAATTCATATTGTATAAATTGATGAATAACTTAAGCTTTGCTGAAACACACACACACAGATCAGACAGTAGTCAGACAGAAAGCAGACTTCTGCTTCTTCCTTCCCTCCTCTCAAATCCAAGTCAAGCCTTGGGAACTGGACTCCCACCTGGARTAGTCTGGCCTGGCTGCCTGGTCTGCCCTCAGGCACTCCGCTGTGTTTCTGGGAAAGCAGGAGGCAAAAGGAAAACTGCTCATTATGTTGTAGGCATTTGGATGGACAGGATTACCAACACACATTCCTTCCCCCATTTTTATGCATTAAATTAGATGTGTTTTTTGTATTTGTTCGGTTTTTGTTTTGCTTTTTATGTTTTATTTTATTTTATTTTTGTGTCCTTTGTCCTAAAATTACCTCTTCAAGTACATTTAAGACAAGTGTGATGAAAATGTCCTTTTTTAATGAAGAAAAGATTTTGGTTTATGTGGATTCTATTCTGCATGAGATGTCTGCATGTCTACTGATTACCTGAGTTTGAAATCAAATGGTGATGTTAGGGTAAAGAAATATTAGGTTTTGCAAGGAAAGTGACTGTAGTCTTATTGTGTGTCAGCCATGAAAAGACCTGTCATGACAAAACAGACAACTTAAAAGGAAGAAGATTTGGACCATACCTGTTTATTATATGTTTATATATATTTCTATCAAAGGGAGTGAATATGTTGGCCATTTATGATCCACTCTCATGTAACTTTAATACAACTTTTGTGTTTGTTTGTTTTTTTNTTTGTGTCCTTTGTCCTAAAATTACCTCTTCAAGTACATTTAAGACAAGTGTGATGAAAATGTCCTTTTTTAATGAAGAAAAGATTTTGGTTTATGTGGATTCTATTCTGCATGAGATGTCTGCATGTCTACTGATTACCTGAGTTTGAAATCAAATGGTGATGTTAGGGTAAAGAAATATTAGGTTTTGCAAGGAAAGTGACTGTAGTCTTATTGTGTGTCAGCCATGAAAAGACCTGTCATGACAAAACAGACAACTTAAAAGGAAGAAGATTTGGACCATACCTGTTTATTATATGTTTATATATATTTCTATCAAAGGGAGTGAATATGTTGGCCATTTATGATCCACTCTCATGTAACTTTAATACAACTTTTGTGTTTGTTTGTTTTTTTCAGGTGGAACACAACTTTAATTATCTGGAGATCCAGGGAGTTACTTGCAACAAGCCAACACAGGTAAAGAATGTTACATAGTCTGAAAGAGCAAAATAACAGACATATCTTTACATTCCTACATATTTATTCTCTCTCCTGCTTAAAGAAAAAACTTTATTTTGACAGAAAATTGTTGTGTTGAAGCTAAGCCATAGCTTGGCTAAAGCCAACAGCTAAGCTAAAGCTAATTTGTAAAAGAAGAGAAATAGAACATTTTCTAAAGCTKAATTAACCCCATAAACCCCAAAGCATGTAAAATAATCAAAATACCCTTTTAAAGAGTTAAAACTGTATTTATGTTATTTTAAACAGTGTTACGTCTTTTTATTTGCATATAAATTACAGATTTAAATGCTGACATTTTACTTTGAATAGATGAGGAACGAATGATGACAGGTCCAAGTTTAGAATAAATGTTTTAAGGTTAAAAATAAAATAACTATTAGTGCGGTGTAATGCATGATAGCAGGAGGCTATGAGCAAACACAGATCTTTAAAAGCATGGTAAGACTTGTTKTTTTCATAAAGGGCTTTACCTTTGAAACTGCAAACTTAATCAKTATGAGTTGTAGCTTCTCTTGCCTTTTTATTTACTTTGCTGRTTTGTTTAAACAGTTCCAGCTGTTTGAGTTCAATGAACATCAGTCATCAAAACGTTATCAGCAGCAGCTTCTTTAGGCTAAGTGATAAAATGAAGCTACTAYAGATGAGTTCATCCCCAACATAAAGTGTCACCATGTTGTGATCTGATGTTTACCTTTTGAAAGTAGTTTAAGTTTTTGCAGTCTAGTGTTTTTTTTCCTCAACATGTAGACATTTCACAAAATTATTATTCAAATTTAGTTCTGTAAGTTATTAAGCCTATTTTACAGCTTATTGGTATACATAAAAGCATTCTTTCTGAATCTCAAACTTCAGGATTCTATAGGAGCCTGTGAGGGGCCGATCCATCGTGATGGACATTTTAAACGTGTACTTAAACCCACCCTACCCCCCTATTAACGTCTGTACATAGAATCACTACCGCCCCTTTAAATCGAACAAGATAAGACTGGCAAATCTAAAAATAGAGCTTGAGAAAATCCAAATGCTTTTCTAATCCTGAAAAACTCATTATTATAAGATGTAGTGGGGGAAAATGGGCCGAGCCCCAAAGGCCAGTCGGCTGCCAGTCAGCTGGATCAGTGGACAAAATATTATAAATGATCGCAGCCGTCCTGCAGCTGAACCCCAGTCTCACTCAGCTTGAGTGATGTAAGTCCTCTTAATGTCTTGACTATAGGTCTCCTGTGCACCAGTGAGGATTATGGTAATTTTGACCCATGGAGGAAGCTCGTGTCTCCCATATATACAAGCATTTGCATAATTGCAGCGGTTACTGAAATGGTTAGCCAGTTTGGGTTAATAGTATTAAACATTACTCTACCAGCCTTTTCTTTCTCATTGTTGGTCTTTTTGTAATATCAGGAAAAATATAACAACAAAGTGATTCTGTTTTTAGAGGTGAATCTGAAACAACTCATTGAAGGCTTAAAGTAGGTCCAAAACTTCCCATTAGCATTTTAACTTGGGAGAAGAAAATGTAGGCTTTACATCAGGGATGAGAGTTTAAAAATAGGACATTTAAACACTTAATGCRTTCATGTTTAATCCTCTTTTCCCAAACCATTCTTCAAAATCAAACTAAATTTGTATAAACAAGTGGCTATTTAAAAAAATAAAATAAATAAAATTTTTGTCGATTAAGGTGTGTGTTGCTTAGGGGTGTAAGAAAATATAGATACGCTGAAATATCACGATATTTCATTTCCTGATACTGTATCGATATCCTAAAGCCCTGTATCGATTTTTTTAAGGTTTAAAATGCCAACTTTCCTGCCAGCTGTTCATTTTTATGTTGTAGTTCAGCCTCTGACCACKAGTTGGCAGCAGTGAGCCAGCTGTTTGGCTCCTCTACCTCTTGAGCGCCAGAGAGTAAGGGTAGCATTAGCATTGTGAGTAAACATTAGCTTCATGCTCYGATAGCTGAATCTGAGCGGAAAAGACAGACACCCTCTGCCTTCTGCTGAGGTAAGTTTACGAACAGTTATTTGTCAGAAAGTTTGTATTTTAAGCCAAATTAAGTGTCTCTTTCACTCTTTTTTACAACTGTAGTCAGCCTTCACGTTACAGAAGGCTAGCACATCTATGTAATAGAATTTTCTGAGACAATGAATTTTGGTTTTTCATTTTTTTTCCAGTAAGAGGTTTTTATTTAATATAATTTTTGGACCAAAAAAATCGCAATATATCACCTTGCTTACAGTATTRCAATATATCGGGATATATCGTATCGTGACCCCTCTGTCATGATATGTATCGTATCGCCAAATTCTTGCCAATACACAGCCCTAGTGTTGCTTCACAGACAGCTGTATGGATCACTCTTATTTTTATTTATTTATTTTTTTAATGTCTGCATTTAGCTGTTTATAGAGTATGAGCGTGGYTCGTTCTTCCTGAAGCTGCCCTCCACTGAAGAGGTTAATGAGGTGGTTGCTCACATCGGAAACTGTCTGCTCAAGATATGTCCCGGTTTATCCCCGAGGTAAGGCTTTTTATAATTGTTTAGCATGATATGGTCTCATTTAGACTATGACTTTTAAATTAACCATTCGACTTAAAAAATAAGAATATTTTCATGAGAATTCAGGTTTCTGATTTGATCAAGTTTGATCTGATGTGGTGAAGAGGGAGCTGAGCTCCAAGGCAAAGCTCTCTGTTTACTGATCAGTCTACGTTCCTACCCTCACCTATGGTCACAAACTTTGGGCAAGTGAACAAGATCGCAGATACAAGCAGTAGAAATGAGTTTTCTCCGCAGGGTAGCTGGACTCTCCCTTACAGATAGGGTAAGAAGTTCAGTTATCCGGGAGAGACTCAAAGTAGAGCCACTGCTCCTCCACATCGAGAGGAGCAAGTTGAGGTGGTTTGGGCATCTAGTAAGGACGCCTCCTGGATGCCTCCCTAGGGAGGTGCTTCAGGCATGTCCAATTGGGAGGAGACCCTGAGGAAGACCCAGGACACACTGGAGAGACTATGTCTCTCGGCTGGCCTGGGAACGCCTTGGAGTCCTCCCAGAAGAGCTAGAAGAGGTCTGGGCTTCCCTGCTCAAACTGTGGCCCCCGCGAAACAACTTCAGATTAAGCGGAAGATAATGGATGGATGGATTTGATCAAGAAGAAAAATATTTGTTCAGTGCAGTTCAATCAACAGTAGAGTTACATCAATTTTTACGTTTAGATTTGATTTGAAATGAAAAATCTTGCTGCTTTTCTACTTTGAACGGTAAGTAAGGAAACCATCCATCCATCCATCCATCCATCCATCCATCCATCCATCCATCCATCCATCCATCCATCCATCCATCCATCCATCCATCCATCCATCCATCC